CCCCCCCTTCGCCGCCCCCCTAGCCGCCGGGCCCCCCGTCCCGCCGGCCGCCTCTGCAGCGATCCGGCTCCGCGGGACTCTGCCCCAGCACCGAGCCGAAGCCCCGGTCCCCTGCGCTCCGCCCCCTAGGGACAGGACCTCCCCAGAGCGCTTTCCGAAGCAGACACTACGCTGCACGCGCGCGCGCGCGCGCACACACACACACACACACACACACGCACACACACGCACACACACGCACACACACACACACACAATGCCCCGCGCGGCGCCCACTCCCGCTCGCTCGCTCTCGGTTTCGGTGCGCCCGGGACGATCCTCTCCCTCCCCCTCGTCGGGGGAGGGCGGGTCACTTCCCCGCACGCCCGGGAAGCGGGGAGGAAAGGGGAAGCCGCGAGGGTCCCGCGGGCAGCGGGCGCAGGGCAGGTCCCGGGTCAGCGGCCAAGCGCCGGGCGGCGGGCGCTGGGGAGGGTGGGCTTGCGCTCGCGGCCGCCGAAGAGGGCGGGGAGCCGCGGAGGATCGAGGCGCTCCGCTGCTCTGCTGCTCCGCTCCGGGGATGGAGCCCACTGTCCCGTCCCCCCGCGCTCCTCCTGCACCGCCTCTCCCACCCGGGCTCGCGGCAGATCCTGAGCCGCGGGGCCCTCGGCCCCGATCCCTCCCTCTGCGGGCTCCCTCTTCCTCCCTTTCCTCCTCCCCTTCCCACGATCGGGCCAGCTCCGGTTTCTACCCAGACTTTCTCTGAAACTCCGCCCGAGCGCTTCCAGCCAAAACAACAAGGGCCGGGGAGCAGGGGATGGACGGAGGAGGGAGAGGGAGAGGGAGGGAGCGGGAGTCCGAGAGGCACCCTGGGATCTGTAGTTCAGGAGCTGGAGCGGGGTCTTCCGCCGCCCCGCGGCGGTGGCGGCCGGAGCCCCCAGCCAGCTCCTTGCCGGGGAAGGCGCCCGAGGCTTCGGCGAGGGCTCGGGGAGGAGTGAGAAACATTCATATGTTCAGTCGGGTTTGCCATCTTGGCTCGCCCGGCGTCAGTTCGGAACTTGGGGAGTTTTCTCCACATGACAGCCTGCAAAACAAAACAGCCTGGAGGGAGACCGCGGCGCTTAGGGGAGGCCGCGACCCCGCGGCTTCCTGCGGGGCAGACCGAACGAGGGGCGAGGTCCCGGAGGGCGCGGGGGAGCGCACCAGAGATACCACCAGCCTGGAGGGGTGTACAGAGGGGGACCCAACCGGAGGAGCGTAGGCTGGTTCCCGGAGCAGCCCTGCCAAAGTTCTGGGAGCGCTTAGTGAAGCCAAAGGATTCAATTGAGTCTATCTCTAGGACATTTTAAAGCCTCACACTGCCTCCATTTGTTGCCACCTGACTTTGTATTTGTTTAAAGTCTACCCTTGGGATGTTGGACTAGAAAAGGGAAACTTACTGGATGTCCTAGTTCTATTTGTTTACTTGTGTGTGTTTAACAGTTATGATACCTGGTTTGGAGTTTAACATGATCCTGTAATAGAAATAGCTCTTCCTACTTCCTTATGAAAAAAATAAAAATATTAGGAGATAACTGAAGATTTCTGGAAACAATAACCTTAGGCATTTTCTTACTAACACTTTCATATTCAGGAGTTCCTCTGAGTTTGAAAATATTTACAATCGTAGTAGAAAATTAGGCTCTAGGGGTGGTGACATACAAAAGTCCCTACACTCCTGGAGGTGGCATTCCCATGGTGGCATAGGATAGTAAACAAAAGGTCTACATAGTACAGATTGTGATAAATGCTGTGCCCCGAGGGAAATAAACACAGTAAGGTTAAAGAATAACAGGGTGGGACTAGGTTAGATAGGATAAGGGGGAAGTCTTCCTTGAGGAGGCATTTAGCCAGGTATTTGAAAGATGTACAGAGAGAGGAGAATCAGACTTTGTTTTGTGGAAGAATAAAAGACATAACCATAAGGAAAACTGAGAGAGAACGAACAAGCAAGGGGGTTTGTCATAAAGGTTTTTGAGAACACAAATGAGTAGTTTATGGCAGCTAATAAACCAAAGCAAATCTTTTTAAGTATGTGAACACAAATTTTTCCACAAGTTGTCCAAATGAAAATAAATTATCTAACTTGTTTTCCATGTCTGCCGTAGGTAATGTCTATACACCAAGTCAAAAGTATTTGTAATTAACTTTGGTAAGACTAGTTCGCCTTTGCGTAGTTAACTCTTGGCTTTAGAAAATTTACCACTCCCTCCACTCCTGTTATAAAGCCCTTTTTAATGAAAAAAAAAAAAAAAGTAATATATCTAGGACTATTTAGCTTTTGAAAGTTCCAATAATTAAAAATATACATATTTTAGATAAGGGATTCAGTTATCTCATTTCTATATCAGAAACCTTTAAATATTTTTCCCTTATTGGCTGCGTTGTTTTAGATTAGTATTTCTAGAGATCAAATAAGGGTTGAGGAGAGGTTGGCAATAAAAACATTTCCATGTATATATGTTAGAAAGGAAATTCGTTACATTACACACCATTTTTTGCTGATCTGTTAAATCACATTTTGTATCTTTATACATTAAAAGGTATGCTGGAAAAAGCTATTACACATAAGAATCTTAAATTTCATTCATACAACAAATATTTATGGAACACCCCAATATGTACAAGTCCCTGAGGACAACAGATACAAAAGGAGGAAAGCTAGACCTGTTCCTGCACTCCTCCTGGAAAAAACATTTCAAGATAATTAACTCTATAACTTCTATAATACGGTTAATAGATTTTGTGGAGGAAAAAATAGTCTTATTTGGGTGTATAACGGGATCTACCCGATGGAAGGAAAGTGGGCAGGTTGGGAAAGACTTTTCTTAGGAAGAGACATCAATCCGAGATCCTCTGGATTAATAGAAATTAGCTTGGCCATATAGTAGGGAAGAGTATTCCAGACAAAAGAGGCAGGCAAGGGAAGATTGTGCAGATTGTTGGAGGTCGTCTCAGAGTTTAGACTTTTCCCTAGAGCAAATGACCATGTTATCTCCTGTGACCTTCAAATCACTTCAATTGCTTCTGCGGGCTTTATCATTAACCTTCAGTATCTCACTTTAACTGTATATCTTCCAACTTGATCTTTCAGGTTCTTCCTATGTAATCTTTCTTCTCAACGGCTTTTGTAGCTTGGTACCTCTGCTTGCTCATGATCCATCAAACCTTTCCTTCCTTTACTTTCTCCCCATCCAATTTAAGTTTTGTGGTCCACATTTTTTAACATGCTCCCAACTCACAACACCCCAACTCTGAATGAACCCAACTCTGCTTTCTTCTACATCCAACCAGCCAAATGACGTTGGAGCCAGTTATATAACAGGATGAGTGATACCACTAAAAATTCATGTTTGATAATGATTGAAAGAAAGATTACATAGGAAGATCTTAAAAGATCAAGTTGGAAGATATATAGTTAAATTGGATGCTGAAGGTTAATAGATCCTCAGCCATTTGCAGGGGCAGACCTTGGTTTTCTGAGACCTGAGACTTACATAGTTTGGGAGTCCTTTTAAAGGAGAAGAATATACGGTTACAAATATAAAATTGGGATGATAGGTATTTAGAATGAGAAAATAAATGACAAATTACTGGAGACTTAGAGATATAGATGCCTTTCTTTTGAGATTTCTATGATGATTTACCAGAATCCTTCCGTGGATGTGCTTCCCGAGTGCATCCTGCTTTCCCCTCCCAAATAGGACACTCTACCTCTTCCAGCAGCTTCCTACACTCATGAAGCCCTGTGCGATGGGTGGTTCCAAGCTAAAGCTTCATTAGCTTCATGGATGTCTCTGCTACTTGGCAGTCCTACTTCCTTAGTTTGCTCTCTGCAATCAGTTGATAGACATTTGGATTGTTTCTACTTTTGGGCTATTATGAATAATTCTTACAATGACTCTTAAACCTTCCTCAAATTTCTCAAATTTTCAAACCTTCTGCCTTCCCCTTCAACTGAATATCTTTCTTATGGCTTTACCAGAACATCAAAGTGGAAACTCTTTTGATGTCTTGCCATCAAGCATCAAACATGCAACTTACATACTATTTTCACTCCTCCTACTCTCCCTCCATCCTTTGGCAAATAGAAGACACTGTTTTCCTCCCATGAAAGGCCAGTCCCTCCTCGTGCTTTGCATTCCATCCTATTGCGTCTTCTCAAGAACCTCACCCTATAAATGATCTCTCTATATCTAAATACTTTATTCTCAATGTAATTCTTTTCATCATTGTGTATGTGTGTATGTATTCCAATAAAACTTTATTTACAAAAACAAGTGGTGAGCCAGATTTGGCCAAGGATCGTAGTTTGCCAGATTTTGCTTTGTACCACCATGATCTGATTGGGTATACATTCACACATGAACACATATACATATATTTTTAAAAATGGAAATGAACCATTGCTATGATGCCTTTTAAAGTAGCCATTGTGAGGGAGAATTTTATGTGAAGTTGCTGATAATGTGCAGTTGCATATTATTTAATTCTTCCCTAATTTTAGCACTATTATTTTGCATAAACTACCGAATAAAATGGAGTTGGTTCCATTGTATTTGACAAAAAGATTATAGGCAATAGATTACAGTTCTCTAATATTGGTTAAATTATACATCACATTTTAAACATACATTTCCTTTGTTAAAGTACCATTTTAAACATCTCTTCTGTTAAAACAATGTGAAAAATACCCTACATCTTATAATCCTTTTTAGCTACCATGTTTTCTCTCTTCTTTCACAGTCAGACTTCTATTAAGTGTTGCTATAGTTTCTAATTCTAGTTCTTTAT